TCAAACTAAAACGATCTGTACAGCAAAAGAAGCCATCAGCAAAATAAAAAGCATTCTAGAGAATGGGAGAAAATATTTGCAAATCATATATCTGGTATACTATATGTATTACAATTACAATTCAATGAAAAAGTGGGCAGAGGATCTGAATAGACATTTTCCCAAAGAAAACATACAGAGGGTCAACAGGTACATGAATAGGCACTCAACATCACTAACCATCAGGGAAATGTAAATCAAAACCACCATATCACCTCACACCTGTTAGAATGGCTATTATCAAAAAGACAAGAAATAAGTGTTGGTGAGGATATGGTCAAAAGAGAACCCTTTGTGCAATGTTGATGGGAGTATAAATTGGTGCAGCCACTGTGAAAAACAGTATGGAGGTTCCTCAAAAAATTAAAAATAGAACTACCATATGATCCAGCAATTCCACTTCTGGGCATTTACCTGAAGAAAATGAAAACACTAAGTGGAAAAGATATCTGCACCACCACGTTCATTGCAACATTACTTAAAATTACCAAGTTATGGAAGCAGCCTAAATGACCATGGATAGATAAATGGATAAAGAAAATGTGGTGTATACATATATATGTATATATATATGTGAATATTATTCATTCACAAAAATGAAGTACATCTTGCCTTTTGCGACAACATGGATGAACCTCAAGGGCATTATGCTGAGTGAAATAAGTCAGACAGAGAAAGGCAAATTCTGTATGATCACACCTACATGTGGTTTCTAAAGGACGAAAATAAGAACTGACTCATAGATACCAAGAATAGATTAGTGGTTGCCAGAGGCAGTGGGTAGACGGGGTGGTGAAATGGTCCAAAGGTGCGAACTTTCAGTTATACGTAAGTCTGGGAGACCTAATGTACAGAATAGTGACTATAGTTAACAATACTGTATTGCAGGTTTAAAAGTTGCTAAGAGACGGGCTTCCCTGGTGGAGCAGTGGTTAAGAATCCGCCCGTCAATGCAGGGGATGCGGGTTCAATCTCTGGTCCGGGAAGATCCCACATGCCGCGGAGCAACTAAGCCCATGCGCCACAACTACCGAACCTGCGCTCTAGAGCCCACGAGCCACAACTACTGAGCACACGTGCCACAACTACTGAAGCCTGCGCGCCTAGAGCCCGTGCTCCACAACAAGAGAAGCCACCGCAATGAAAAGCCTGCCTGCTGCAACGAAGAGCAGCCCCCGCTCGCCACAACTAGAGAAAGCCCACGCGCAGCAACGAAGACCCAATGCAGCCAAAAATAAATAAATTAATTTTTAAAAAGTTGCTAAGAGAGAAGATCTTAAAAGTTCTCATCACAAGGAAAAAAGACTGTGTGAGGTGATGAATGTTAACTAAACTTCCTACGGTAATCATAAAATATACATATATCAAGTCATTATGTTGTACACCTAAAATGAATACAATGTTATATGTCAATTATAACTCAATAAAAAATAAATTTAAAAAAAGGCAAAAAAAAAAAAAAAGGCAAAATGGAGGGAATTCCCTGGCGGTCCAGTGGCTAGGACTCCGCACTTTCACTGCCGTGTGCCCAGGTTCAATCCCCTGGTTGGGAAACCAAGATCCTGCAGCCAAAAAAAAAAAAAAAAAAAAAAAAAAACAAAAAAGGGGGAGACAAAAAAATAAAAAAATAGATAAATAATTGTTGAAGTTGATACTTATTGACCTAATCAGGGCTGAGGTTGATTATACTACTATCTCTATCTTTGTGTATGTTTACCTTTTCCCACAAAAAAGAGTTACAGAAAAAATTGAGCTGTCTTTAACCTGGGTTGGTATAAGTTACTGATTGGGACTACATTAAAAGTGGGTGCGACATTAAGGTAATGTTTGTTAACAACAACAATGACAACAAAAAACAACTCATAGTGTAATTATATTAACCCATTATATTTATATACATTATGTAAATAAATAATCATTATAATGAGGAATGATTCTAAAGTTTCATGTTATATTTCTTGAGATGATCAATTTTTAACTGGATTAGTGGGTAAGTTTTAAATCATAAGCTGATAAAGTGGGTGATAAATTTTCCTGAATATATACAAAGTCTATTTAAATATTTTATTTTCACAAGGAAACCACCTTGGTAGACAGTAAACCTGGTTCGATGTACGTGGGGAAGCACAGCGCATGTGTGCATCTGGCAGAACACCCAGTACAGAAGAGAGCAGGTGCTGTTTTCCAAGACACCTACTTGTGCGTGTCCCGATACTATAGTTAGAAAATGGCTCAAATTTTTAGTTGCTTTTCCCAGAACTTGAAGATCGTCTTCCTGTTTATCTTGGTGGGATGCCTATGTTGTACTTGTGATTTTTCTGTTCTCTGTAATGTATTAAAACAAGATTGTCACAGATGGGGAAACAAGAGGTCATTAGTTAACAATCAGATGTGTGATTTCCTGAGCAGAAAAGACGCTCTCTTGTGCATTTTAAACATTTTTAAAGGAGAAATAGGGCTAGTCTCTTGAAGGCAAAGCCTGTTCACTGGGCTTTCCTCAAGACTCGACACATTCATTTCTAAATTCATTTCCTCATTTAATTCTGTCCTTTGCATTTAATCTCAATTTTGCCTCTATTTTTTTGTAAGTCTCTCATCAGTTCATAGTGGTTACTGCTTTATAGTTTAAGTAAACATTGCCAGAAGAACAAAGGAAAGTGAAAGAGGTGGTCAATTAGCTTTCCTCCAAGTTGGTGTGATATGGAGATGACAGCACCTTTCCTTGAATTCATCCTTCAGGTTTTAGAACAGTTGATCTTCATTAGGTTCAGGGCAGGGAAAAAGTTGTACTAATTACTGGCTTTGGGAGACACAAGCCTTTGTTCTCCCCAAAGTATTAGGTAACACTCCTACTGCTACTCATCTCATTGCCTTACTCTTGTTTCATTTTCTATAAATGGACATAATAATGGTACCCACCTCATGGTGATTGTAAAGATTAAATGAGATAATATTTGTAAAATGCTTAGAACAGAGATTGGCACGTAATAGTAAGTACCCTGTAAGTGTTTATAAGATAAATTCCTGCATGACAGTGTGGATCTTCTCTGTAACATTTGAATAAATGACAACAGTTACATGCCGGTGGAGTTCTAGAATCTCCTTGGTGAACTTGTCATTCACTGGCTATTGCATGATCAGCAGATGGTTTGGTGAAACCTCACTAATTTGGAATGAGTTCACAGGTTATTAAACCTGAATAAGTGAAAATTCTGAAATCATAGATCTTTGGAAGTATTTGAAACAACATTTATATTTGTTCTATTCATGAAAAATTTGAAAGTGTCACATTTGACTAATTAAGTATTTTCAAGATACACATGTTAAGTTTGTGATTTTGTATACTTAATTGGAACAAAATGAAAGCTAATAAAGGTTTTGATACGGACATCTAATCTTTTAGGTAGATATCAATGAAAATACATGAAAAAAGCAAAGAGAGATGTAAATACACTTCTTTGCATGCCGCAGACCTAAATAGTAATTTTTAAAGATATTGCTGGACTACTTTTAATATCTACAAATAACTAAATTTAGAAGAATCAAGTGTTTGTAGAATTAGTGTTCCCTAGCAAACTTGAGAATACTTAAGAATCAGTTATCATTACTACAGCAAAAGGAGGCCAAGGAAGTCAGATTTCACTTGTATTGAAATTATATTTTACTTTTATAATTTACATATGTCAAAACGTTTTAAAAGCTAACTTTTTAAGTCATTTTTAAGACTTTCTAAATTAATCGATTTGAAATCTTGATTAGTGCAATGCGCAGGGCTAGCAATTCCTTTTTCTTTTTTCCCATCCCATCCTATTCACCCTCTCTTAGGGCATTTACTCTGAGCTCTAGGTCGTCATTATTTGTTTACACGTCCGCCCCCTGCACGGAACTTATCCGTCTTCCAAAGGCCAAGCTAATTGGAATTACTGTCCTCTTTCACCAGATTGGATCCCCAGGGTACTGTTTATTTATATGGCAGAATTTAAGGACAGTTTTAAGTTCTGTGTAGTTGATGAAGAGTTTTTGGATTCAGGCTAGTTTTTTAAAAAATATTTTACAAAGTGGTTTATACGTACCTATATTATTCTGCTTTTAACCTTACACATTTCAGCTCTTGTGCTGTTAATCTGGAAGGCTAACATCTCAAGGACTGCTGAAGTTACCTGTAGTCTATTCAGATGGTACACAAGCCCAGCACAGCATTTCCCACATTAGCAGGTGCTCAATAAAGATGGTGAACATCGCAGTCACAGCCCTTTTTATTCCAAAAATAAATGGCAGGGCGGAAAGAAACACCCTTGGCTTATTTCTGGTAAGGTTTTTATGTACTATAAAAGAAAGAATTGTACTCATCAGAATAGCACAAATTCTAATAATAAGAGATGCTTCTGTTTAAACTTAAAAGTCGTTAATGCAGTAATGCCCATTTGCCCTCCCTCCGCCCCGCGCCCCGGCCAGATCCACTTCTCAGGAGCAGTTCCAGCAGTTTGAGCTCAAGTGCCTGAATGTGGACCCTGAAATGAGCCTTGATTAACTTAGTCGACTAGGTAGCCAAACATTTTTTCACGAGGGTTTAAACTCCGCAAGATTTCACAGGATTTAAAAATGGTAAAAAAAAAAAAAGCATCGAATTTCAGTACCTTTAAATTTGGCTCAAACGGGGCACAGGGGCTTGGACTGACCGCAGGAATACTTAGTTTTGTTTTTAACAATTTCGGGCCTTCCTGAAATACAGGCTGAATTGGCGTAATGGAAAAAGGAGCCTTGGAATCCTAGAGTCTGGTTTCTGGGTTCCGTCCCAGTTCTGCGTGACCTTGGGCAAGTTACTTTACTCCTCTGAATTTCCGTTTCCTCCGATGCAACACGACGGTGGCAGCAGCCACCTTGCAACGTAGTCTAGAGCGCGCCTGGAACACACCCAGTCGGCCGCGCACAAACAGCAGCCATATTAAGGCCGCCCAGCTCCGCGGCGACCTCGCGGCCGCGCTCTGCCCAGCAGGTGTCGGTACCGCCCGGGGCGCGGGCCCGGCGGCGACGGCGCGGCCCCTCCCTTCCGCCGCTCTCGGGCCTGCCCCTCGGCGTTCCCGGGCGGGCCGCGGCAGCGTCCCGGGCCCGCCTCGGACGCAGTTGGCGTGGGCGCCGAGGGCGCCAGACCGGGCTCCGAGGCCCAGCCGGCCGAGTGCGGGAGAGCGGAGGCGGCCCGGGCACCGCCCGCGCCCGAGCGCGAGCGCGCGGCCACCGCCCCCTCGGCCCACCCCTCGCCCTGCCCCGCCCCCAGCCCTCGCGCGCCGCCCGCCCGGGTCGCCGCGGGGCCGTGGTGTACGTGCAGAGCGCGCAGAGCGAGTGGCGCCCGCACGCCCTGCGCTGCTCCGCGGGCCGAGCTGGCCCGCCTGGGACGCTGAGGCGGCGGCGGCCGAGGCGGCGGGTCTCGCGCGCCGGGCCTGCGTGCCCGAGCGGAGGTCGCCGTCCGCCGCGCAGGCCGCGCTCCCTCAGCCCTCGGCGGCGATGAGGCGTTGAGGCGGCGGCCGGCGCCGCGCGGCGGGACCGGAGGACGAGGAAGCGGCCCGGCCGAGGGCGCGGGGCGCTGGCTTCCCGAGGCGAGGGGCGGCGGGTGCATGGCGCAGTGACGGCCCTTGCCGCTCCTCCCGCTCCCCGGCCCCAGGCGAGGCCGTCCGGCCGCCACCCCTCCTGCTCGGCCGCCGCCTCCACCGCCGCCGCCATGGCCAATGACAGCGGCGGGCCCGGCGGGCCGAGCCCGAGCGAGCGAGACCGGCAGTACTGCGAGCTGTGCGGGAAGATGGAGAACCTGCTGCGCTGCAGCCGCTGCCGCAGCTCCTTCTACTGCAGCAAGGAGCACCAGCGCCAGGACTGGAAGAAGCACAAGCTCGTGTGCCAGGGCGGCGAGGGCGCCCTCGCCCCCGGTGCGGGCCAGTCCCAGCATCCCGGCCCCGCGCCGCCGCCCAGGGCCGCCGGGGCCGGGGCCAGGGAGGCCAGGAAGGCGGCGCCGCGCCGGGACAGAGCCGCCGCCGCCGCCGTCGCCGAGGCCGCGGGCCCGCGGGCTGCCGGAGACGCGGCGATGGCGAAGGCGAAGGCCAAGCCGCCGGCCGACCCCGTGGTGGCCGCGTCCCCGCCTCGCGCGGCGCCCGGCGGCCAGGGCTCGGCGGCGGCGGCCGCCGCTGAGGCGGATCCCGCGAAGGAGGAGCCGCTGGCCCGCTCGTCGCTGTACCAGGAGAAGGCGAACCTGTACCCGCCGAGCAGCGCGCCGGGCGAGGCGCTGAGCCACGGCGGGGGCCTGCGGCCCAACGGGCAGACGAAGCCGCTGCCGGCGCTGAAGCTGGCGCTGGAGTACATCGTGCCCTGCATGAACAAGCACGGCATCTGCGTGGTGGACGACTTCCTGGGCAAGGAGACCGGGCAGCAGATCGGCGACGAGGTGCGCGCCCTGCACGACACCGGCAAGTTCACGGACGGGCAGCTGGTCAGCCAGAAGAGCGACTCGTCCAAGGACATCCGAGGCGATAAGATCACCTGGATCGAGGGCAAGGAGCCCGGCTGCGAAACCATCGGGCTGCTCATGAGCAGCATGGACGACCTGATCCGCCACTGTAACGGGAAGCTGGGCAACTACAAGATCAATGGCCGGACGAAAGTAAGTGTGTGCCGGGAGTGGGCGCGGGGCGAGGGAACGCGGTGTCCGTGTGTAAAAGGGATTTCCTTCTTGTGCAGCACCCGGTGGAGCAAACGGATAGCATCCACCTCCTGCCGGCTCACACACTTCTGCGTCTGATTGCAAGGTCTTCTGGCTAAACTTAGGCTCTTCCTTGAACTTTGCAGTTTTCTCTTTTCCTTTGCACAGTGAGTCGGGTCAAACCTCGCTGGAGCTCTAGGCGCCCGACGGGGACTATTAGAGTGCTACCCGAAGCAAGTGCTGGTTCTGCATCAGCCTTGTGTTTGCAGCGGCTCTTAAATTCCCCGTGGGCTTTGAACCACTCATCAGCTTCCGACTTCCACAGTCGAATGTTGTGTTCAGTGAGGAGCCTGCCAGCTGACCGCAGAAAGGTACATGTAAAATAAGCATTTAGGCCGAAGGCTCCTTTCCTTACGTTCAGGAAGAGCCTGCCTGTTCCCCTCCCCCTCTTACAGCTCTCATCCCTCTCCCTTGCCCCTGCTGTTTTGAAACCCACTGCTAAACGGGGGAAGAAGTATTTCCGTTTTCAGACCGCTCAGTGTAGGTAGGTTACATTTTTAGCATAGGTTTCCTTTATTTGCTTTTGTTAGTATAATCCCGCTGTTGAAAAAGAACTGTTTTGTAGCTTCCTGGAAAAAAAACAAAAACCCCACGGAATTGGCTCACTCTTAAGTCTCAGTTTGGTGAAATCTTTGTTTTCTCTTGACTATTGTAGTCGTTCCCCAACAGATTCTTCGTTCCTACCTAGTCTGATCGCTCTTCCCTCCTCAGTATGGTATATGATAGACTCTCCTTCTCTGTACTCTCTTGTGGTTCTTTTCCATTTCACTCCCCAGATCTTAATCTTTTCTTTGTATCCAGCTCCACTCCAGGCCACCCTACTCCACCCTCCTCCACCATCAATCTCTGTCTGATTTTGTGAGTTTGAGGAGCTTGTTGAGGAGATTATCACACGTGGGTGTTTGTACACAGACACTGACTCTTCCCAGTAGTTCTTTTGTGTGTGTCAGACCATCTGTTTTGACAGTCATTATGTGTGACTCTCAGACTGCCCAAAAGGCTAGGCGTACGCAATGAGGAAAGTTCTAAACGGGAAAATTTGGTGGGAAAAGACAATGTAAAGTCTAATTTATGCATTGCTGCTTCGTTGCTGGATGAAGGCGCCAAAAAAAAAAAAAGGTGAACACTTGCTTAACACTAAGCTGGAAGGAAAAAACAGCCTGATTAAACGCCAGCTTCGGTCTTTAATGCAATTCTCATTTATATACATATATATTTTTTTAATTTGTTATAGATCAAATCTGAATATAGCCATAAACCGTGGAGGAAGGTAAGCTTGAAAAAGCTTGAAGGCATATTAATGTAACTGTACAAAACTGACCGAAGTATGTATATAGTTGGGGCACAAGCTTCAGGTGAAGAAGACAATGTCCTGAATCTTCCTTGCTCTGCTTTCCTTAGTTAATCTAGCTTTCCAAGTTAAGCTAAATCCTCTTCTCTCCTATCTTCCTGTTTTTAACTGCTCAGGGAAGGGACAGCAGTCAGCCTAGCTCTTACCAAAGGGCCTCCTAATGGGGAGGCTGTTAGAGAATAGCCACCTCTTTCCTCAGGAGTGCCAGTGGTTGAAGGGCCGTTGAGGTTCTAGATCACCTGACTACACAGATCATGTGAAGGAAAGATGGATTTTAAACTCTTTAGATTTTGATCTTATCCTTACGTTAATTTTAGGGACACAATTTCAGGATCTGTGAATGGTTTTAGGGAATCCCTTTCATTGTACTTCTTGGTTGAGAGAGGTTTTGGTAATCTTGTTTGATTGTGTAGTTTAAGCATTCCTAAAAGAAACTAAAGATGCTTGCTTTGGGGGAATGGAAAGGCAGTCAGATTACCAGCCACCATATACTGGGCAACCTCAGCGTGCTAGGCACCAGGTTAGGCTCAATACAGACATGGCCACAGTAATTTTAATCCTATGAAATCGGTAGCATCATTCTTACTGTATATTTGAGGATCTTTTAGCTCCGACTTGGCTAAGGCCTACCACCTATGATAACCTAGCTGGGATTCAAACTTAGGGTCATTCAGACATCAAGCCCTGTGCTTTTTCTACTACACTGGACATGGGTAGGATATTAAATGAGAAGATGTAGATTACTTAGCAAACTACTGGGACTAAGGTTTGATACACATATTTTGTTAACAGTGAGCGTTAGCCTTGTATGTGAATAATGGTAGTTTATCTTTGGACTATAGAAACTTCTTTTATCACAATGTTTGTGTCAGGTAGTGACTGAAAAGCCAGTGAAATTTATCTGCCTGGATCATGCTTATACTCCTGAGAGAGGCAGAATATGGGTACTCTATGTGATTGCAGAGAGGGTCTTCAGTTAAGGGTTTTATTATCCTTTATGACATTGTAGTGATTTTAAAAGGTACTTGCCTCAAATGTGTGGGTATTTTTCTCACATGGATTTTCACAGCAACTCTGTAAAATATTTAGGTTGTTGGTGTATTATCCCTGTTTAGAGATGAGGAAAGTGAGCCTCAGGAAAGGGCGCTTGTCGGAAATCCTGCAGCGTGCCAGGACTTAAATTCAGGCTTTCAGACCGAGATTTGATGTTCTTCATTTACACTGTCTGTTCTGTTTGGTCTTTGTGCATGTCAGGGCCTGATAATCAGATGATATATAATTTATAATTGGCTGTGGCTCGTTCAGTATATTCTTGGATTTCTCCCAAATTTCTGCTGCCAGCACGTTTATCTGGCCACTGTTTGTCCAGCTACTTTAAAAGAGGAACTACAAGGGAAAGATGAAGAAATACAGGAAAAAAACAGGAACATGATCGTGGCCACTGAGCTCCAGTTCCCACTTTCTCTGGTCCTTCTTTGGGATTTTCCCCCTTTTTGCCCTTAAACTGCCCTTTGATCCTTTATCCTTTCTCACACCCTTTCTTCCATCAAGAAGACTTGCAGCGATGTCCAAGAGGAAGGAGTCACGGGCTGCTGATTTGTGAGGAGTAGCTTTGTGTGGGCTGTAAGAAATCATAGGTGCCTTTACTTGGGGTAGAGGAAGAAGAATGCAGAGGAGTGCAGATCCTGGGAAAATGTGCAGCTGTTCAGTTGGAGTTTCTTTTTTTAAAATTTATTTGTTTTATTTATTTATTTTTGGCTGCGTTGGTTCTTCGTTGCTGTGTGCAGGGGAGCGGGGGCTACTCTTCGTTGCGGTGCGCAGGCTTCTCACTGCGGTGGCTTCTCTTGTTGCAGAGCACAGGCTCTAGGCGCACGGGCTTCAGTAGTTGTGGCACGTGGGCTCAGTAGTTGTGGCTCACGGGCTCTAGAGCGTAGGCTCAGTAGTTGTGGCGTACGGGCTTGGTCGCTCTGGCATGTGGGATCTTCCCGGACCGGGGCTCGAACGCGTGTCCCCTGCATTGGCAGGCGGATTCTTAACCACCGCGCCACCAGGGAAGCCCTCAGTTGGAGTTTCTTAACCACTCTGAAGGAAAATGTTTGCCTGTTACAATAAAACTAGTAGAATCATATACATGTTTTTGGAATTTTGTCTAAAACTTACTCTGTTCAGTTAAAATGTACATAAAGAGAAGGAGCGATAAAATAAGACCAATAAGCAGCAGATTCTATTCCTGAGATTTTTCACCAGTCCCGCAGTTAATTGGGCAGCTCTAGCTGATTATGGCTTTTAGAGCAAAGGGTAGGATAAGGAAAGACCTGATCCTTTATTATCACTGCCATAGAGATGTGGTGTCAGTCCTCTTAGATGTTACAAACAAAACCAAATGAAACTGCCTTCTCAATCTACTTCGGCCACTTTCTCTATACTCTTGGCTCCCAGGATGTACTAATTGAAGCAGCTTGTTTAATGTTTTAATAGCTACGTCAGAGTTCGAGATCAAAGTCAATTATTCTGTATTCAGAAAGGCTGAAAATATTACAGCTTCCATAGTAGCAGTTTTGTATAGTGCTTTACTGTTTTAAAAGACAAGCAAGTGGACTGAAAGAGTAGTCTTAATAGGTTGTGACAACCAAGTTCAACTTTGTAGGAAAACATTTTGTACAGTGAATTAGTGTACGTGTAGCTTACATATATGGTAACTTCTTTAATTCTAAAGGAATTTTAGTTTAAATTAACAGGTTGTTGGTTTTTCAAAAATGTTTATAGCTCTTCCCTTATCTACCGCCTAATAAGCCACAAAAATTTCCTGCAAAACCTTAGTCACACAGGAGGAGAGCATCTGAACGTAGAAGGATAGTGGGCTTTGTCCTGCTGTGAAACCTGGCTTGGATTCTGGATCTGCCACTGTTTCCGTGTCCTTGAGCCGGTTGCTTAAGCTTTCTGAGCCTCAGTTATTCCATTTGGAAAATGGTGTTAAATGATGCCTGTCTTTTCTGTCTCTCAGGCTTGCTGTGACGAATGTATATAATCTTGCATGTAAAGGCACTTTTTAAATTGTAAAGCACTATGCAAAAGTGTCCTTAACTTACTCTTCTCATTTAGAAAATTTTCTACTTTTCTGATTTCTTTCTTTAAAAGAGTCCTGTGCTTTTCCTCTTTAATAAGCTAGAGGAAAAAAGACTTTAGAATGATCACCCATTTTTGACTACACACACACACACACACACACACATACACACACACACACACACCCACACACACACACACACTTTTTTTTTTAACAGAGGAAATAAGTCCCAGAGAGGTTAAGTGCCTTGTTCAAGGTCAGAGAGCTGGGTAGTGATTTACTTCATTCTTATATCTGCACGTTAATGCTGCAGCTCGTGTAAAAATCACGTGTTCCCACTTAACTAATTTTGGTGTCTTTTATGCCATTTTTGAGGCTACACTTGAACATTTATGACTTCCTTTTCTTCTCCCTTTTACTCCTGTCACTCTACAGTTTGGCTTATCTGACATTCTAGTTTAAATTTTCCTCCTTTCGATAATT